GGAGGGCAGCAGAGGGCCACTACACAAGTGCAGCCTTAGGCTTCCAGATCCTTGGACCATTCTAATGTGAATAAACTCGGAAAGAATAGGAGTTTATTCATAGCAGGATACCCTGAGGTGTACAAAGAATGGGTCAAGGTAGGGGAGAGAGACTTGAAGAGTGATAGTTGAGAAGCAGAGATGGAACACGTCTAAGAAGTTCCAGGAGAGCCCAAAGACACAGGCTGACTGAAGAAACTGCCAAAGATTAGCAAAAGTCGATTGCAGAGGGAAAGCAATGTTTCTTGGAGGTTTTGTTTCAGTGTTTTTTTATTTTTATATTTTTTTTAGAGATGGGGTCTCGCTCTGTCACCCAGGCTGGAATGCAGTGGCACTATCATAGCTCACTGCAGCATCAAACTCCTGGGCTCAAGCAATCCTCCAGCCTCAGCCTCTGGAGAAGCTAGGATAACTATAATTTTGGAAATATAATTAAGCTCCCAAACCAAACTTCTACTCTTATTCTGGGAACAGAATAATAATCAATGTTTGATCATTTTCAAAAGAAACTCAATTCCTATGTTGCTTGAAATGCATAATGACATCCATATGACAAATGAGCTCTTCATGTGGGGCTAATTGTAACTAAGCCCTCAGTACAGTTTTTGCACTTCCATTTAGAGAAATCATTTTAAACGTATTTTCTCAAAAGTCGCTAAATAGGGCCAGGCACAATGGCTCACACCTGTAATCCCAGCACTTTGGGAGGGTGAGGTGGGAGAATCACTTGAGGCCAAGTGTTCGAGACCAGCCTGGGCATCATAGTGAGACGTCGTCTCTAAAAATATTTAAAGATTAGGGAGGCATAGTACTTCCAGCTAATCAGGAGGGGGAGGCAGGAGGCTCGATTAAGTCCAGGAGTTGGAGGATGCAGTAAGCTTTGATTGCATCACTGTAGTCTGGCCTGGGCAATATAGTGAGATCCTGTCTCTTTAAAAAAAAAAAAAAACTTGCTACATGGAAAAAAATACAATCAGTAGTGACTTTCTACCTTTAGCTTATTATTTTTATATTTACCCCCATGCTTTTAAATATTAGGCTTATATTGCTCCTTCCTGATTGTACCATTTAAGGATATTGAGTTCCTACTATGGAAATTAAAGATTAAGCTCTAGTTCCTCCTCCGCATCCCCATCACACATGGTACCCTTCTACAAAGCCCATTTTTCCAAATGTATTTTTTTTTGTTAGATGAATACACAGTATTTGTTGCCATAATACAATTACTTTCTTTTCTTATACAAGATTTTGTTTCTTATACAAGATTTTGTTTTTCCTAGAGTTAATAGCTATATGATTCTTAAATCTGATCAGTTTTCTGTGTGTCTGTCATCAGTGCAACTCCCAACGTCTACTTCTGATTATTAACTCTCCTCTGAAGGCTTCATTAGCAGCTGGACTTTTGTCAATTCCATCCTTCTGAAGGAGTATCTCTCAAAGACTTCTGACTAAATCTAATTTGGAGGGGTTACTGTCTCTGCCTGTACAGAGTTGCCATAGCTGTCATCCTGGGGTCTTCCTTTTTGGTATCATCTTGGGATTCTATTATTTTTCCGTGTTTGATATTTGTTGTGTTCCTGTATTTCATCATTTCCTCCTTCTTGGCTTATTCCCTTATTTTGGTGGATCACATCTGCAGATCTTCCTGGAGATCCTGAGAAAAGGGAGCATGATAGGTACTTCTTTTGTTTTTTAGAATTAGCATGTCTGAAAATGCCTTTATTCTATTCACAAACTTGATTGATAGTTGGCTGAGTACTAAAGAAAATTGGAAGTAGTTTTCCTCTAGAATTTTGAAGGTAGTACTTTACTGCTATCTAGATTCCAATATTGCAGTTGAGCAACTTGAAGCCATTCTGATTCCAGAGTCTTTAAAACCTGGAAGTGTGTGGGGTCTTCTCTTTATCGTCCATGTTTAGAAAATTCACAATGACACGCCTCGACGTGAATGTTTTCATATTTGTGCTGAGTGCCTAGTAGGCTCTTTCAGTGTGGAAATCATATCCTAAATTCTAGAAAGCTTTCTGAAATCACTTACTGACCATTTCCTTTCCTCCAACTTCTTTGTTCCCCCCGAACTCCTACTATACCGGTCCTCCAACGGCGCAGCAGCGGCCAGGCGCTTGCGCAGTGTGCGCCCCCCTCCCCCTGCTAGCCTGTCGCGCCTGCGCACAGCGTGGGCGTCACCGTCGCCCCTCCTCCCGCAGCGCTTTCCACTGACGCCGGGCTGAATGGCCTTCCGGAACGCTGCGAGCCCCGGTGACTCGCCCTCCTTGGGCCCGAAACCCTCCGCCTGGGCTCGCGCGGGAGGAGCGGGGCCTCTCAGGGGAGCGGCGACCGCGCCGGCCCCGGTCTCTTTCCCTGGCGGCGGTGGCGGCTTCTTCCGTGGGACAATATGTTCAAGAGAATGGCCGAATTTGGGCCTGACTCCGGCGGGAGAGTGAAGGTCAGTGCCCGGCCCGCGCTCCCTTCTTGGGCGGCTCTCCCGGCCCGGCTCCTCCCTGTGCGGCGTGGGGAGGGCCCGTTTGGTTTCCTTTGGCGCCTTTTCTCTTCGCTTTTGAACCGCGGTTTCATGGCGGAGAGCGAGTCAGGGATACCGAGCGAAAAGTCAGTGTTCACTGGGCTTCGGCTGCACCGCGTTACTGCCACCCTCCCGTCCCCGCCGAAAGACAAACTTCAAGCCGCGGTGGCGAGGGGAGACCCACGCGGCTGCCGCGGAAACTGGCCGCTCCGAGGGCTAGGAAATCTTGGCATGGTGCACATTAACTGCCAGCCGAGGTCATCGGTTAACCCGGGGATGCCACCCATCTGGTCGTGAGGACAGTAATAACAGTAGCGAATAGTCGACGAGCGCTTCCCCACAGTATTTACAAGCGCGATAACTGAGGCACCGAGGCGTAGAAAAAAGTTCAGAAAATTTGCCCGAGTTCATGGTGTTCACAAAGCCCCAAAGCTACGGCCAAGGCCTGCAGAGAACGTTACACCGTACCTGGCGCATAGGGAACATTCAATAAATCTCAGCTTTTGTTTTTTATGAGAGTTATAGAGCCTAACATTAATGTTTGACATTGTGACACTTCTCTCACATTTTCCTGCATCGCCTGGCAGGTTAATTTTTAAGGCAGACCCACTAGTTCCTGGTATAACACCTGTTTTTACTCCTTTTGATTTTTATTTGTAGCAGGAAGGAATTTTTTTATTAAAAAGAAATCACCTTGGCTCACGCCTGTAATCCTAGCACTCTGGGAGGCCGAGGCGGGCGGATTGCTCAAGGTCAGGAGTTCAAAACCAGCCTGAGCGAGACCCCGTCTCTACCATAAAAATAGAAAGAAATTAATTGGCCAACTAATATATATATATAAAAAATTAGCCGGGCGTGGTGGCGCATGCCTGTAGTCCCAGCTACTCGGGGAGGTTGAGGCAGCAGGATTGCTTGAGCCCAGGAGTTTGAGGTTGCTGTGAGCTAGGCTGATGCCATGGCACTCACTCTAGCCTAGGCAACAAAGCGAGACTCTGTCTAAAAAAAAAAAAAAAAAAAAGAAGCTAGATACACAAGGCCACATAGTGTATGATTCCATTTATGTGAAATGGCCAGAATAGGCAAATGTATAGACACAGAAAATATATTAGTGGTTTCCAGTGGGTGGGAGGAGAGGGAATAGGAAGTGAGTGCTTAATGGGTATGGAGTTTCTTTTTGTTTTGATAAAAATGTTCTAAAATTGATTGTGGGAATGGTTGTACAACTCTGTGAATATATTAAAAAAATCATTAAATTGTACACTTTAGGTAAATTGTAGAGGATGTGAATTATATCTCAATAAAGCTATTATAAAATCTTCAATGACTACCTATTGCCCTCATGATGAAGTTCAAATTCTTTATTATGTTTTAGAAAGCCTGCCCTGATCTTTCCTTACTTTGCAGCCTTATCTCTTGTCTGTGCCTCGTTTCCTCATACCCTGCATTCTGCCAATACTAAAATAGTCTCAGTTTTCCAAAAGAACACTCTTAAACTGCTCCACTCATTCCTTCCCACCCACTTTATTCTCATTGATCCTTTTGGTCTTAGTTCAAGTGTCAGTTTTCTTTGAAACTACTTTCTCGACCTCCGAAAGACATTTAAATTAGTTTCCCTTCCTATGGACTTATATCCTCACAATATAGTATAACAGTGACAAAGCAAGGTATTAAGATATCATGACAGTATGATCCCAGTTTTATTTTTTAAAAATTAAATGTATGAAAATATAAGCACATAAAACATTCCTGAAAGCAAATAAAAAGGTTAATAAACATTATTATCGAGTGTGACTTATTCTGTTTTGCATGTTTTCTTTTTCTATAGTGAACTATGTTTTTTTTTTTCAAAAGCCACCTTCACCAGCAGAAGCCCTTTTATGTGTTAGAACTAATGAATGTGCTTCAAAATAAAATTAAAGGGGAATTTTTGTACTCAACAGTTTTAGGTTGCTTTAGATTAGTTGTCCTTAGCTTTATGTAATATTATTTTGTTCTTTGAAGGTGACTATAGATTTGCTTTGGTTTATATGGTTATGTTTATAAAAATACCAGAAATGTATTGTTTTTATGGAAAAATCAAAATTGATTTAGATTATTGTCTATGGAGATACATAAAAATAGGACTTGCAAAACAAGAGAATTAGGGACATATATGTTATATATTATGAATTCAGCATAAGCTTCCTTTGCTATATATTGAATTATATATTATGAATGATATATTCTATAATAAATTATAAGAGAATTCAGCGTAAGCTTCCCTTGTTTTTTTAAAAATAAAACCACTGGTATATAATTCATGCTTTTTAGAAAATTAGATTCCATAAAATTTGAGAGGAAATATGTTTTATAAAATCACATATATATACTATGCTCAAGTGTATTTCTTTTCTAGTTTTCATATGTAGATGGTAGAACTAATTAATTTCTTATATTTTAGGATATGTCAGCATATGTGAAGAAAATCCAGTTTAAATTACATGAAAGCTATGGCAATCCCTTAAGAGGTACAGTACAGTCTTTTCAGTCATAGTATACAACGTTAAAAAGAGCTAGGAAACCAAATCAGTAATGTACAATTTTTTTTTTCTCTTCAGTTGTTACTAAACCTCCATATGAAATTACTGAAACGGGATGGGGTGAATTTGAAATAATCATCAAAATATTTTTTATTGACCCTAATGAAAGACCTGTGAGTAACATTAATCTTTGCAAATACATGTTTTAGTAAGTATGAAAATGTAATAATACTTAATGAATATGTATGAAGATATAAGCACATAAAATATTCCTAAAAGCAAATTTTTTTAATATTGTTTATTAAGATATACTTTATGTAAGCTTATGGAATAATGTATCTTGCTATGAGTTAAAATTTTCCATTTTTAAATGAAGTGCCTTTCAAAACTTTTTTTTTCAAGTATGGAAAGAAGGGATATAATATGAATATATATTGGAAAGAAACTGAAAATCAGATGATTAATATGGCAAAATTTTAAAATTAATATTATTTGGTTGTTAGTAATAAAAATATTGAGTCCATATTCTCTTAAGAAGTTAAGGTCTTAGTCTTTGCTTTTTTAAGCTGCCATCAGTACTACCAGCTTTATTTTATATCTTTCATGAATATTTATAACCACTGACTTTTTCATCTTTTGATCTTTTCTTATCAGATTATTGCTTGATAATGTAAAATATCCCTCCAGGCTTTCACTTTGATCCTTCAGCAGCTTTGTGAGGTTAGTGATATCCTCATTTTAGAGATGAGGATACTAAGGCTCAGAGGTCAAGTCATGTGCTCAAAAACACTCAATTGTGATAGAGCTTGTTTTTAAACCCAGGTATTTGCCTTCAGACTTTCTTTCTAGTACTTTTCCTTTTGACTAAAACCACTAAGCTTTTTTTTTTTTTTTTTTAACAACCTAAAACGTCACAACTCACTTACGGCTCTTTCTCATTCCACATATGTGTGGCTGGGAGTTGACTCCAGTTTCAGGACTTTAACATTCATCACCATTAATTTTCGTCTTGTTAGAATCAGCTTATTCTTTTAGCACCAAATATTTAGGCTCTAATTATCAGATTACATTTTTTTAAACTTTGTGCTTTAGTTTTTAAAGAGGGTCTTGCTCTGCTCCCCAGGCTGGAATTCAGTGGTTCAGTTCACTGTAACCTTGAACTCCTGGGTTTAAGGAATCCTCCTGCCTTAGCCTTCTGAATAGCTAGGAGTACAGGAGTGCCACCACAGAGGGCTAATTGCTTTTTTAAAAAATTTTTTGTAGTGACAGGGTCTTGCTGTTGTGCTTTTAAAGGAGTTGAATATCACCTGGGCCAATGGTTCAGAGAACCATATCCTAACTGGCACATAGGAAACACCTGATGTACTTTTTAAGCATTCAAACTCTGAGGCCTCCTTTTCTGGAGAATCTAATTCAGTAGGCCTGGAGCGAGGCCAACAACCCAGGTGATATTGATGCACAGTGAGATTTGGGACCCACTGATGTAATCCTTACTCTTCCTACATAGGAATGTATTTAGGCAGTCTCTCAAATGAGAATCTAGTTTGGGCTTGCATATCTCCAGTGTGGAAGATTAACTTCTATCCTTAAGTGAAGCATCCTATTCAGCTTTGGGGTAGTTCTCGTTTAAGAAAGCTGTTGCTTTATGTTACATTTCTTAAACGTTTTACTGCTAGCTGTTCATATATTAGTTTTCTCCTGAATAAATATTCATGACTCATTTAAACATTTTTCATGTGATAGGATTTTTAGATCTCCTATCATTCTTGTCCTTTAACATTCTCACACAATTTATATTGTTTGGTAAGATATTATTAAATACTCATTATTTGCAAGATATTGTAAGGGACTGAGAAGGATACAAAAAGAAGATGCTGTACCTGACCTTAATGAAAATAGTCTGTTAAAAAATGGTTGTTTGTAAAGGCAAAATGCTGAAATTGGAATTTCATTCTTAGAAATGAGGATTTCTAGGCAAGAACAGGCAGTTTCATTCTGTAAGAATTTTCACATACTGCTTAAAATTAGAGACATATTTCTTGAAATTTTTTATTGCTTATATCTGCATGAGTGCTTCTGAAGTCTGAATAATAAATTTAGAAAAGGACAGTTTTATGATGCAATAGTAAAAAGATTTTAATTATAAAAGTCAGACATGCACATAGTTTTAAAAGAAGACTTCTAAAATAAAAAGTACAAGCCTCCTATGTTACTTTCCTAGTACTACAAACTGGGTGGCTTAAAACAATAGAAATTTATTCTCACAGTTCTGGAAGCTATAAGTCTAAAATCAAAGTGTTGGCCATGTTTTTTTCCAAAGGTTTTTTCTAGGGAGAAGTATCTTTCCTTGCCTCTTCTAGTTCCTAGTAGCCCCAGATGTTCCTTAGCTTTTGGCAGCATAACTCTAGTCTTTGCCTCCATGGACACATGGCTTTATCTCCCTCCCTGTCTCTGTATCTCTTCTCTTCTTTTTAGGATACCAGTCAGATTAGGGCCAACTCTAATGACTTCGTTTTAATTTTATTAAATCTACAAAGACTATTTCCAAATAAGATCACATCCACAGGTAATAAAAGTTAGGACTTCAGCATATCTTTTGGGGAGACAAAAATCAACCCATAACATCTTTCCCCCATCTCCAACCCCATCTCCAGGAAAACCACCTTTTAACAGTTACCTGTTTTATGGCCAGAGGCAGTGGCTCATGCCTGTAATCCTAGCACTCTGAGAGGCTGAGGTGGGAGGATTGCTTGAGCTCAGGAGTTTGAGAACAGCCTGAGCAAGAGTGAGACCTCTTCTCAACCAAAAATAGAAAAATTAGCTGAGAGTTATGGCACCTGTCTATAGTCCTGTAGTCCCAATTACTGGGGAGGCTGAGGCAGGAGGAGTCCTTGAGTCCAGGAGTTGCAGGCTACAGTTAGCTATGATGATGCCATTGCACTCTGCCCAGGACAACAGAGTGAGACTCTGTCTCCACCCCCACCCTCAAAAATCAGTTAACCTGTTTCAATTTCTCTAGAAATTACTCCCACGCATCTCATATATTTAAACACTTACTTTGGATTTCTCAACTTTTAGATAATATCTTTTAATGATGACAGATGATCTTTTTTCTTCCTTTTTTAAAGTTTTTTTTTTTTTTTTATTCATTTTGCTGGAGGAATTTCTTCAGAAAGAATGTCTGAGAAACAAACTTTTGGAGCCATGCCCATTTGAACATGTCTTTATTTTTCAATTATACTTGATTGTTGGGGTGAAAAATTCTAGGTACCAAAGGAAGGACATTCTTTCTTGTCTGTGAGTAGAAGAGGAAGAAGGGAAGGTCAACAGGCTCAGCTACACCACAGCATTCTTGATTTTGGTTCCTGCCAATTGGGAGATTGGAGCCTCTCTGGGCTCCTGGGAGCCCTGGCTCCTTCTTCTGATACAGTAGTCTTCCTTTAGTTTTCAGGTTGTGATTTTTCTCTGTTAGTGGTTTTATTGTTCTTCCTCGTAGTGTCATCTGCTTTCTGTTTATTCCAGAAATTTGTCAAATTATCTGCTTTAAATTTATATGTAATTTGTGCTCTCTCATTTCAGATTGTCTTTACTGTTATTTCAGTGGAATTCTGTGTGTTTCCCTCCTCCCTTTCCATATTCTTGGTACACTATCTTGAACCTAGAGGATGTTCTTTAAATAGGATATTTTCACTTACTGAGCCATGTCCAGGAAAATCTGACTTTTCTATAAATTGAACTAGATTGTCTTTAAAAGGAGTTGATGCTTGTTCAAATTCAGTTGCAAGAATTTTCATATTTTCTGACTTCATTGTATCCTTCCTTTCTCCCTATTTCATGACTGTTTTGAAGAATAGCATTCCCATATAATGATTTTAGCTAACTTTTTTGGAAAATTCTTCGAGGCCTCTGAATGGGTTTCTGCAGCTTTATCAACTCTGATATTTTGCCAGCTAGATTTCATTTTCCTAAAATAATCACACATTGTGCTGCACAGCTGTTCCTTTGATTTCTTAGTACACCTGTTTTTAAGTATTTGAAAACATGTTGCTCTTATCAAAGTGAATTATCACTGACCAACTTCTTATTTATGTTTCTTTATTATGTCATGTATGTACTAATCTTATAGATCCCCAAAGAGCTTATCTTGCCCTAACTGAACAATCGAATATTGATCATTTCATTTGAAAGTATCAAATCTTTTTTTCCTGCAGTAAATTTTTTAACTCTAATCTTCAGGGATAACTGTCACAAATTAATCTAGTTTCACTTGTGTGAGTAAAGGAATTTATACTGATTTCCCAGTTTAATTTCCATAGGTGTGTGTTGTGAGGTTTTTTATTGTTTTTTGTTTTTGTTTTTGTTTTGAGACAGAGTCTTACTCTGTCACCCCAGCTAGAGTGCAGTGGCATCATCATAGCTCACTGCAACCTCAAACTCCTGGGCTCAAGTGATCCTCCCACCTTGGTCTCCTAGAATGCTAGGATTACAGGTGTGAGCCACTGCACTCGGCCTTGTGTTATTTTTATATATATAGTTACTCTCTAGAAAATTTGAACAGATTTTTACTTACCTTCTTCAGAATGTTCATGATGAGTAGGTGTGGATGGATGGTAGTACCTAATAGGAAACTAAAGATACAGAGAGTTTGAGTGACTTGCCACAATAAGTTAAAACAAGATCCTGAATTTGATATGTCCACTTATTCCAGTCTCTAATTTAGTGAAAGAAATGACAGTGTGTGATGATAAAAACTATTGCACAGGTGTGACATATGTTTTTATTTCACAGGTAACCCTGTATCATTTACTAAAGCTGTTTCAATCAGACACCAATGCAATGCTGGGAAAAAAGACAGTAGTTTCAGAGTTCTATGATGAAATGGTAGGAAGATTTTATAATGAGAATTTAAAAAGCATTTTTAAGCTGGAGAACTTTGAAGTTATTGGGCTTTTTTTTCATTCTGTCCTATTAGATATTTCAAGACCCAACGGCAATGATGCAACAGTTATTAACAACATCTCGTCAGCTAACATTAGGAGCCTATAAGCATGAAACAGAATGTAAGTGCCGTGTATTCACAATTAGTCCCGAAAAAATAATGTATTCTGTAATAGTGAGAGGATTGTGTGATTAGTGGTTATTAAACTGTTTCATAATGATACATGTTAAAAACAAGGTATGTATTACTGTAAAACATGTAAGAAAGCCGGGCGCAGTGGCTCACGCCTGTAATCCTAGCACTCTGGGAGGCCGAGGCGGGCGGATTGCTCGAGGTCAGGAGTTCGAAACCAGCGTGAGCAAGAGCGAGACCCCGTCTCTACTATAAATAGAAAGAAATTAATTGGCCAACTAATATATATAGAAAAAATTAGCCAGGCATGGTGGTACATGCCTGTAATCCCAGCCACTCGGGAGGCTGAGGCAGTAGGATTGCTTGAGCCCAGGAGACCGAGGTTGCTGTGAGGTAGGCTGACGCCACGGCACTCACTCTAGCCTGGGCAACAAAGTGAGACTGTCTCAAAAAAAAAAAAACATGTAAGAAGGATGTTTTAAATTGTTCTCAAAGTAGGCCTACTTTCAAAAAGGTAAAAGACAGCCTCTCATTCTGTGAAATACTGTTTGTCTATTTTATTCCCTAATATGGTTTTATTTTATTTATTTATTTTGAGACAGAGTCTCACTCTGTTGCCCTGGCTAGAGTGCCGTGGCATCAGCCTAGCTCACAGCAACCTCAAAGTCCTGGGCTCAAGCAGTCCTTCTGCCTCAGCCTCCCGAGTAGCTGGGACTACAGGCATGTACCACAATGCCCGGATAATTTTTTTATATATATTTTTAGTTGGCCAATTAATTTCTTTCTCTTTTTAGTAGAGACAGGGTCTGGCTCTTGCTCAGGCTGGTTTTGAACTCCTGACCTTGAGCGATCTGCCTGCCTCGGCCTCCCCGAGTGCTAGGATTACAGGCGTGAGCCACTGCGCCCGGCCCCTAATATGGTTTTAAGTATAGCTTTTCATTAGTCTTGCTTAGCCTATCACTCAATCATTTCATTTACTTGTCTTTGCCAATGACATCTGCATGAAGAACCTTGTAGGACATAATTATACTTTTGTGTACTGTGAACTAGTTTATCTCATGTTTTTACCTATGTCATTTTACATATAATTTCAGATTAATGTTCAAGTGGTGAATACCTGAATGCCACCTTGTTAATCATTCATATTATATTTTCCCCCTAAGCTGACATGGCCTCAGAATCCTCTACATGTCCCTTCATGCATCTGTTGCCAATCATTTGCAGTTGGCATTCAAGGTGAAACCTAGTTGCCATCCCTATGTTAACATTTATGTCACTGTTCATTTAGTCATTTTTTTGATCTTTCATTCATTCGTTTGCAGTATATATTGAGCACCAGTTATATGCCAGGCATTATTCCAGGTATGAGGATAGAGCAGTGTCTAAATCAGACAAAAAGCCCCACTTTTGTGGGGCTTTCATTCTAGTGGGAGGAAGAGAAGTATTAAATAAATAGAACAATGAAGTATAAGGTAGTGATTGGGCACTGGGAGAAAAGTAAAGCAGGGCAGGGCAGGGAGCAACTTTGTTGGAAGGAGATAGATGGTATTTTAAATATCGGATCAGAAATTGTTTCCTCAGTTTGTAACATTTGGGAACCAAAAGGTGTAAAGGAGAGATCTGAGGGAAGAATATTATATGTAGAGAGTGCAGCAAGGGCAAAAACCCTGACCTAAGAGCATGTCTGGCATATCTGAGGAACCGCAAGAAGGCCAGTGTGGCTGGAGTAGAGTGAACAAGAGGACGAGGAATGGGAGAAGAAGCCAGAAAAGGCTGTGTAGGGACTTATGGGTAACTGAATGAGATGTGAAGTCATTTGTGGGTTTTGAGCAGAAGAATAACATTATCAGTGTAACATTTTTTATTTATTTATGTATTTATTTCTTAGCTAGCAGAAGCAATAGGAACAGTCTTAACATTTTAAAACAATCTGTGTTGAGAGTAGACTATAAAGCAAAACTGGTAGAAGCAGAAAGAATAGTTAGGAGACTGTTCCAATAATCCAGATATGATAGAATGGTGGCTTGGACCAGAGTAATAGCAGTGATGAGGAGGGGCCAGATGCCAGACTTATTTTTAAGATAGTTCCAATAGAATTTGCTGATGATTTGAATATTGAGATGTGGGAGAAAGATGAGCAAAGGTTTGGGACCTGAGGAATCCCCCCAAATTAATTGCTTTTTATGGAGATGGAAAGTCTGGGAAGAACAGGTTTTGGGGGAAAGATTAAGGGTATCATTTTAGACATATTGGATGTGGGATGCCTGTAAGACATGTAAAGTGGAGATGTTGAGAGGGGTGTGGTACCTTAAAGTCTGGTATTCAAGGAGAAGCCTAGGCTGAAGATACGAATTTGGAAATTAATAGAATTATAAATTTGTGAGACCAGGTGGTACTATCAAAGGAGTGAATGAAGACTTCTATGCTTCTATGGAGAGAGAAAACCCAGGTACATGTAATTGTAAAGTTTTTGTCAGCCTCGAAAAGAAAAGACAGAGAGAGAGTGGGGCCAAACAACGTGGCTTTATTGAGTGCTCCCGGGAGGGATTTAAGGGGGGGGGGCGGGCAAGAAGTCACGCCCATTTGAAGGGGGTGAGGGCTTTTATATTATTTGAAGCAGGTTTGGGATTTTTGGCAGGAAGAGCTAGGGATTTTTCACTGTGACCTTTGTCGGTCATTGAGAAATAGGAGGGGCTGGCAGTATTTGTGGAATCCAGGAACAGAAACTGGACATCCAGGTGTGGTTATTTTCAGCGGGGCCTGGCAGTTGTCCTTGGCGGGTCTGGTCTCGTGAACCTTTTCTTTTTGATCTAGAGAGGGGAGGGGGGCCCACCATCAGCCTTACAGTAATGTTCTAAAAGCCAAGTGAAGAAAGTGTGTCAAGAAACTAGAGTCATCAGCTGTGTCCAATACTGCTGATAGATCAAGTAAGATAAGGGCCAAGACATTGGCTATGTAGCAAGATGGAAGTCCTCAATGACCTTAACACGAATCGTTTAAGGAGAATCGTAAGGATAGAGCAGTTGAAGAGACAATGAGAAAATGAGATGAGAGAAATTGGAAACAGACACTATAGATAAGTCTGTGTTGGAGCTTGCCTATAAAGGGGAGCTTGCCTATAAAGGGGAGCCCTTGAAGCAGAATTGGGATATGGGGTCAAGAGGGCATTGTTTTCATGGGGAAATAAAAGTGATCCAGTAAAAGAAGGGGTGGAGGGATGGTCATGCAGGGATGAAGGGGATTGCTATTTAACCATTAGTCATTTTCATGAAACATATGACTAGGAGTTAAAAAATGAGGATGTTGGCCGGGTGTGGTGGTTCATGCCTGTAATCCTAGCACTCTGGGAGGCCGAGGAGGGCGGATTGCTTGAGGTCAGGAGTTGGAAACCAGCCTGAGTGAGACCCTGTCTCTACTAAAAATAGAAAGAAATTAATTGACCAACTAAAAACATATATACAAAAAATTAGCCGGGCATGGTAGTACATGCCTGTAGTCCCAGCTACTCAGGAGGCTGAGGCAGTAGGATCGCTTGAGCCCAGGAGATGGAGGTTGCTGTGAACTAGGCTGATGCCACAGTACTCACTCTAGCCTGGGCAACAAAGTGAGACTCTGTCTCAAAAAAAAAAAAAAAAAAAAAAAAAGGTTAGGATGTTAATTTATAATTTTGCCATTTGATAGTCACTGAAAGTTTGTATGCTTCACTTTCTACACCTGCAAAAATATTTGCCTGGCCTACTTTGTTACAAACATAAAATAGATAAGTTTATGATAACACTGAAAAGATAAAAAGCACTACTTGTATGCATTCAGAAAACATTTTAAATTTCAGTGGATGAATGGTCAAAAGATGGAAGAAGAAGAGATCATCAGTAAATGGGAAAATATTGGTCCTGCTGGTAATTTAAAAAATCCTGACCAAATAGTAATGAGTGACTATATTTTTCCTATCAAACTAGCAAAAGGAGTTTTTAATAGTGAACCTATTAAGGCTGTGGTAAACCTTGCATTCTCATGAATTGTTTGAGTATAAATTGTTTTATCTTTTAGGAAAGCTATTTGGGAATATTACTCAAGTGCCTAAAAAATGTGTACTTTTACCAGTTCAAAGGCATGATACTCAATATTTGTTAATAATAAACTATCAGATTTGAGTGCTTACTCTGTGTACTCCTCTAAGTCTGTACATGTATAAACTCAAATAATTTAACTGTACAACAACTTTATTGAGTAATCCCATTTAGAAAAGGAAACTAAGGCACGAGGAGGTTAAGGTTAAGAAACTTCACAGGGTAACACAGCTAGTTAATGGTAGCATCAGAACGTGATCCCAGGCAGTCCTCAAAACTTAGGCTCTAAAAATTTAGTGATGTTTTTAGGTAGGATAATATTTGGGATAGAGGTTGATCATTATGGAAGATATTAAAAGTTTATAAAGATGCTTATACTGTAAACCAGTAGAATTTTACTTAAGCACTAATGATCTAACTTTTAATAGTAGTAATTGCTTCTACAAGGAATAATAAAAATGATAGTGAATAGTTACTGAGAGCTTAGTATGTACCAGACAAACACTTTACATTTCTTAATTTATTGAATACCAATAACAACCCTAGAAGGGAGGTACTATGATTAGCCTTATTTTGTACTTAAGGGCCCTAGAGAGATTTGATAACTTGCCCAAAATTACCCATTGGAGCCTGGATTTAAACACAGATTCTGTCCTCTTAACTAATAACCTACTGTCTCTGTGTAAAAGCCTTACAGTCTGTGCTTCTAACCAGTAGGTTATACTTACTCAACAAAAGTAATAGTCCCTTTTTTTTCCCTTAAGACAGGGTCTTGTTTTGTCGTCTAGGCTGGAGTACAGTGGCGTGATCATAGCTCACTGCAGCCTTCAACTCCTGGGCTCACGCAGTCCTCCTGCCTCAGCCTCTTGAGTAGCTGGGACTGCAGGTGTGCACCACCACACCTGGCTAATTTTTTAATTTTTTTGTAGAAATGAGGGCCTCTCTAAGTTACCAGGCTGGTCTCAAACTCCTGGCCTCAGGTGATCCTCCCACCTCAGCCTCCCAAAATGCTGGGACTACAGGAATGAGCCACCACACCCAGCCAATAATTCTTTTTTGGATTGACTTCCTTTAAATTGAGACTTTACTATAACAAACTTTTCTGTTTTATATGAGTGTTTAACATATAAGAAGCAGAAAACTGGAATAAGCTAAAAGAGGTTTTAAAATGTTTTCCCCCAGGATCTCACTGCTAATTAACTCAGGTCTTCTTCCAAATATATCATGCCCTTTGTAGTCTTATGAGTTGTCAAAAATAAGGTATCATGATTAAAACAATAAGAATCTATGTTATGTCTACAGTGAATGCTGTCCTTCTGATAATTGAGTTAAATTAGGTCTCCCTGACTAGATTTAAACTACCTTTTACAATGATACAGGACCACTTGTTTGTATGCTGCTTGCAGGGCCTGCTTTGTTCACTTCATCTAACTCCTTTCTCATTCTTTAAAACTCAGTTCAAATTTTACTTCTGACAGGAAGTCTTCCCAGATAATATGCACCCTTTCTCTTTGATATGAAGCTAGTCTTCTCTTGTAGCTTCCTGTGATTACCTTGTGACACTATATGACATTTTTTTTTATTTCAGCATATTATGGGGGTACAAATGTTAAGGTTACATATATTGCCCATGCCCCCCTCTCCCGACACTTTTTTATTTTTTATCTATTTCCTACCTCTGTACCCCAGCATCTAACAAAGTGCCTATCATTCAATGTATGTTTTTTTAATTGATGTGGGGAGTATACAAAAGAATACACATTTCTGCATAGTAAAAAGCACTGTGAAAAAAGTCTAATGACTGATAAGCCGTGAAAAAGTATTGTACTCATGTTACAAATTACTAGTTTCCTTAACATATTGTAGTCCCCCCTTGTCCATTGGGGATGCATCAAAGACCCCCAGTGGATACCTGAAACTGTGGATAGTCCCAAACCTTATATATACTGTGTTTTTTCCTGCACTTCAGACATATGTATGATAAAGTTTAGTTTATAAATTAGGCACAGTAAGAGATTAACATCAACAACTAATAATAAAGTAGAAAAATTATAACAACACACTGTAATTAAAGTTATGTGAATATGCTGTACCTCTTAAAATATCTAATTGTACTATACTCACCTATTTTCAGACCACTGTTGACAGTGAATAACTGAAACCATGGGAAGCAAAACCTCGAGTAAGCGGGGACCACTACATAAAGAGCTCCTACAAATCGATAAGAAAGGTCAATAGTAGGAAAATGAGCAAAGGAAAAACAGAATTCTTAGAAGGGGAGTGGGAAATGTTTCTTAAACATATAAAAAGATTAGCCTCAATAGTAATAAGAGAAATGCAATTTAAAATTACTCTGAGATACTGTTTTTGGCCTTTCAGATTAAGACCAAAAAGTTGATGCAGTAAGTAAACACACATGTAATGCCAGTGGAATTATAAATTGATAGATCCTTCTAGAAGTTGCTTGGCATTCTTCTAAAATCTCAAGTACCTACATTCTTTAACCTAACAGTTCCACTTACAAGAATTTATTTTACAAGTATACAGATATGATTATGTGCTGCATGCACATTATTGCAGTGTTCGTAATAGAAAAAATGGAAATACTCTGAATGTACATCAATAGGGGACAGACTGTATACATTCAATGAAGTCCTCTGCAGTCGTTATTAAGAATGCGATAGGCCGGGCGCGGTGGCTCACGCCTGTAATCCTAGCTCTCTGGGAGGCCGAGGCGGGCGGATTGCTCAAGGTCAGGAGTTCGAAACCAGCCTGAGCAAGAGCGAGACCCCGTCTCTACTATAAATAGAAAGAAACTAATTGGCCAACTAATATATATAGAAAAAATTAGCCGGGCATGGTGGCACATGCCTGTAGTCCCAGCTACTTGGGAGGCTGAGACAGAAGGATCGCTTGAGCCCAGGAGTTTGAGGTTGCTGTGAGCTAGGCTGACGCCACGGCACTCACTCTAGCCTGGGCAACAAAGCGAGACTCTGTCTCAAAAAAAAAAAAAAACAAAACAAAACAAAACAAAACAAAAAAAAAAGAATGCGATAGCTCTGTGATACAGAATGAGCTTCCAGAGATAATGTTAAGTGAAACAGCACAGTGCAGAACAATGTGTATGATATGATACCCATCACATTGAGGAGATAAAAAAGAAACTGCACTTAGGAATATGCTTGTATATCAACAGATGGAAAGACACCAGAGAAACCTGATTATTTCTGAGAAGAAGCACTGTTGGTTGTGGGGACAGGTGGGAGGCAGAAGTACAAAGAGTTTTTTGCTATCCACTCTTTTCAGCCTTTTAACTTGTATCATGTATGTACTACCTTGTTTTTTAAATACTTTAAAAAATAAAAGCAGGGAACAATTGCAAAGAAAAATATGGATTGTTTTGGCAATATAAAATTTATTGTGTTACAAAAGGTTATCACAGGCCAGGATGATGACTCACACTTATAATCCTCGGCACTCTAGGAGGCTGAGGCAGGAGGATTGCTTGAGTTCAGAAGTTTGAGACCAGTCTGAGCAAGAACAGGACCCCATTTCTACTAAAAATAGAAAAATTAGCTGGGTGTGGTGGCACGCACCTGTAATCCCAGCTACTTGGGAGGCTGAGGCAGGAGAATCACTTGGGCCCACGAGTTTGAGGTTGTTGTGAGCTAGGCCCACGCCATGGCACACTAGCTCAGGTGACAGGGCGAGATTCCATCTCAAAAAAAAAGATCACAAAAAGCAAAGCAAGTCACTGGCAATGAACATAAGAAAGTACTCACTAACATTTATTGCATATTTTTTACCTGTTAGATGCTTTACATATAATTGTTTCACTTAATCCTTATACATTCTCTGAGAAATATCTAGTTTTAACCATATCATAAAGAGGAAAAGACTGAGAGAGACTTAGAAATGTCAGCTTCAGCTAATATGGGGCTAAGGATTTATTTGAGCTCAAGTCTTTCTGATTTCAAAGCTGGCTCCATCCAACTATCCTGCTTCCAACTAGTGACTGTCTTATATTAGTTAAAGTGCAACTTTAATAGTCAGCAACAGCAATTACCTAAAATGTCCACAAGATGGAAATGTTGGATTCAAGCAGGCATTTTTCTTTGTAAAACATAGTGCTACATATTCAAGCGGCATATTTAAATAGATGTATCCTATTTTACGATAATGACATTTTCTTTAGTAATTTGTTGTATAGCCAGCTAGAATGTTTCAAAAATCACTTAATGTTGGCTGGGCCTGGTGACTTATGCCTGTAATCCTAGCACTCAGGGAGGCTGAGACAGGAGGATCATTTGAGCTCAGGAGTTCAAGACCAGCCTGAGCAAGAACAAGACCCTGTCTCTACTAAAAATAGAAATTATCTGGCCAACTAAAAATATATAGAAAAAATTAGCCGGGCATGGTGGCGCATGCCTGTGGTCCCAGCTACTCAGGAGGCTGAGGCAAAAGGATTGCTTGAGCCCAGGAGTTTGAGGTTGCTGTGAGCTAGGTAGATGGTACAGCACTCTAGCCCTGGGAACAGAGTGATACTGTATCAAAAAATAATAATAATAATTTAATGTCCTCTGTTATCATAATAATAGTTGATAGGGCTTTTTATGTACCAGGCATTATTCTGGGTACATTACATACATTAATTCATTTAAAATATTCTTAATAATATCATGAGGTGTTTGCTATTATAACCTCTGTTTTATAAATGAGGAAATGAACATAGATTCAATAACTTAGAGTATCACAGCTAATAAGTGGTAGAACGTAATTCAAACTTAGTTAATGCTACATTTTTTGGAAAAAAGATATGGACTTGTTTTGATAGTGTGATCTTTGTTTACGTAAGTTTCACCTGTACGTCAATTTAAGAATACTTTTGGTTAGCTCTTCTTATTAGCTGATGTCTCTTAAATTTGTATGTCCACTTATTTCCATATTAATATATAAATGGTGAAAAACCAAGGACATTGTGTCTTAAATCTTAACTGTTGAGTTAGTGACCAGAATTTCATTCTTAGTTGTAGAAAACATCTTAGATTCTCTCTTGGGAATTCAGAAAATTTCTCCCACCCCTCACCAGCCCATGTTTAATGTTATATATCTAAGTTGTCCATATTTCATCATGAAATTATTGACCTAAAGAAATGCTGTATTTATTATTCTATGACATCTTAGATATGAGGAAAAATAATTCATTAAAAGTATTTGTTTTTCTTAGTTGCAGAACTTGAAGTGAAAACAAGAGAAAAATTGGAAGCTGCCAAGAAAAAAACAAGCTTTGAGATTGCAGAGCTTAAGGAGAGATTAAAAGCAAGTCGTGAAACTATAAATTGTCTAAAAAATGAAATCAGGAAACTTGAAGAAGATGATCAGACTAAAGATATATAAACAGTTCTAAAGAGAACTTAATAATAAGCCAGACTGAAAATAAGGTGGACTTTAATGGAGAAATGGACTTAATGCAAATGTTGTGATGTTTCTTAGAGGAACTATATATATAGTGGTCGACAGTGGATTTCTCAGCAATGGGGTCGAAGTATTTGTACTGTTCAAGCAATCTTCAATGGAAAATATTTGTGTGGAAGAGTAGATGCTATATAGGCATTTTACCAACCCAATTTTAGGGAAATTCTGATGTTAAGCACAATTTAAAAATATTTTTATTGTAGTGTGTGTGTAGCTTGTTATCCTTTTGACAGGCATCAAAATTTCATTATAAAATATAACTTGTACAAATTTTGTACTTCTCTAGTAGTTATTATTAGTGATAATATTAATATGTAAATTCTTACCTATCCCCATCCTTTTTTGTATATGTTACGCCCAGTCAGTATTCAATAAATGTAGTGTATGGAACCTGTTTCTGCCTCTTGATGTGTTTCTTCCTCTTTGAAGACTACCTGGAACTCCCTCAGTAGAAGTAACATACCTCCGTAGTATTGTGAGCTCACACCTCTTATTGGCACTCATGATAGCATACAGAAGCTCTAAAGTGACAAAGATCAGCTCTTAAGTTTTGTTCTGCTTAATTATCACAGTTTCATTCTTCACATATGAAAATATTAAAGTCTTTATGCATGTTCCAGAGACACATGGGAAACGGCTATGCATCAACTTCATGCAGCACCCCTAATTTCTCTACCTTCTCCTGCTCTTAGCCTCTCTTGTTCAAGTCCACATGGTGAGTCCTCTATTTTTGAACTCTACGTTGAACATTCAGTAATACTTCATCTGTAAAGGCATGTTGGCTAATCTTTGCTTTAAAACACTACATTGAACTAAGAAAAGAAAAAAAAGAATAAATTAAAAAATTTTAAATTAAAAAAAAAAAAAAGAAAAAGCATGTTAACCGAACCATCTCGGCAACCTAGGGACAAAAATAGGTAGGAAAGTATTTAGGGCCGTGTGTGGTGGCTCACGCCTATAATCCTAGCACTTTGGGAGGCCAAGTTGGGAGGACTCCTTGAGGCCAGGAGTTCAAGACCAGCCTGAGCAAGAGTGAGACCTCATCTCTACAAAAAATAGAAAAATTAGCTGGGCGTGGTAGTGCCAGCCAGTAGTCCCAGCTACTCAGGAGACTGAGGCAGGAGGATGGCTTGAGCCCTAGGACTTTGAGGTTGCAGTGAGCTATGATGATGCCACAGCACTCTAGCCCTGGCAACAGAGCAAGATCATGTCTCCAAAAAAGGAAAAGTATTTTGGAAAATGTGATATTAAGAAGTTACACAGCTCCTAAAAACTGGCAACTATGCCTATGCCTAATGAAGGGTTTTTGTATTCTCTAGTCATAACTAACTATAACTATAACTTTTAAGTTGTGGCATTTATAGGCATTATAGATGTTGTGCAAAGGTCTCTGATTTTAAATTTCTGCCAAGGCCTTCAGGAGCTTGGGAGTAGCACTTAAAATTGAGGCAAACATCATTCAGCTTTCTCCTACCTCCTAGCCCCATGCCTGCCAGGCCCATCAGGATAAGATTCCCCACAGTGTAGGGTAGGTCCTGGGGATTAGTTAAGAAAAATTAGTGTGAGAAAAGCCCCATTCTACTTGAGGAGCCTTTACATGGATGATCATCCCTCTATTCTAGTTAAGATTAGGCCCTGAGAACGTATTGGTTCATAAAACCGAAGTCCATGTTTGCAGGTCTGACTTTATGCATACATGTATGTCATACATACATGACATGCAAAATATGTCATCATGGTTCTGTGTTGGCTTTAATCTTGGTAAGATCTTATGAGGTTACAAGGAACTATAACTCAATAATAAAAAGGCAACCAAAGATAAAAATGGACTAAGTATTTGAGTAGACATTTCTCTAAGGAAGATGTAGAAATGGCCAATATGCACTTAAGAAAATGCTCAACATCGTTAGTCATTAGGAAAATGCAAATCAGGACTACAATGAGATACCACTTAACATTCTCTAGTATGGCTATAATTTAAACAAAACACAAAAAAGTTGGTGAGGATGTAGCTAATTGGAACCCTCATACATTCTTGGTGGGAACGTAAAATGGTATAGCCACTTTGGATAACAGTTTGGCAATTCCTCAAAATATTAAGCATAGATACCCAATGACCCAGCAATTCCATTCCTACTACCTAAGAGAAATGAAAACACGTTCTCACAAAAACTTACATACAAATGTTCATAGCATTATGCATAATTGCCAAAAAGGAAACAACCCAAATATTTATCAACTAATGAATTAATGAAATGTTATATATCCACATGCTAAAATATTATTCAGCCTTTGTAAAAAGGAAGTACTGGTCAGGCACAGTGGCTCATGCCTGTAATCCTAGCACTATGGGAGACTGAGGTGTGCCAATCACCTGAGGCAAGGAGTTTGAGACCAGCCTGAGCAAGTGTGAGACCTTGTCTCTACAAAGAATAGAAAAATTAGTGGGACGTGGTAGCCTCGTGCCTGTAGTCCCAACTACTCAGAAGGCTGATGGAAACATTACACTAAGTGAACAAAGCCAAATACACAAAGCCACATATTGTATGATTCCATTTATATGAAATCTCCAGGAAAGGCAAATCCGTAGAAGGCCGGGCGCTGTGGCTCATGCCTGTAATCCTAGCAACTCTGGGAGGCCGAGGCGGACGGATCGCTCAAGGTCAGAAGTTTGAAACCAGCCTGAGCAAGAGTGAGACCCTGTCTCTAATACAAATAGAAAGAAATTAATTGGCCAACTAAAAATATATAGAAAAAATTAGCAGGGCATGGTGGTGCATGCCTGTAGTCCTGGCTACTCAGGAGGCTGAGGCAGAAGGATTGCTTGAGCCCAGGACTTTGAGATTGCTATAAGCTAGGCTGATGACACTGCACTCTACCCTGGGCAACAGAGTGAGTCTCTGTCTCAAAAAAAAAAAAAAAAAGCAAATGTGTAGAAAGAGAAGGCTCAGTAGTAGTTGCCAGGAGATGGGGTGGGGAGAAGAGGGAGTGGAAAGGGTTTCCCTTTTGGGTGATGAAATGTTCAGGAATTAGTGGTGATAGTTGCACAACCTTGTGAATATACAAAAAACACTGAATTGTATACTTCAAAATGGTTAAAATGGTGAGCATTATGTGAATGTTATCTCGACAAAAATGTTTTAAAACATTTAAGTGGCAATTTTTGTTTAGAATTCTAAAAACCTTTAAAATATTAATATTTTATAAAGTCTTGATTTCTATTTCCCCATTCTACAATCAGAAGAGAATATTTGTTTACCAAGGGATAATTCCTCCATCGAGATGAGAACTAAGAACAATTAAAGGAAACTCAGCTAATTAGGCAGCTCACTTCTTTGAAGATCAAAGTGTAAGGCTCATTTTTCTAACCAATGTAGGTAAGTAGTGCTGTTATCCATATTTTACAGATAGGAGATTAAGGGACTACAGCTTGATGTTGAGTCAACCAGCAGTGACTCAGACAAGTAATCTACAGCTATATGCCTCTCTGCCTCATGCTTAATTCTCATGTTCAAAGCGTTAGCATTTTTAATTGTTTGTTGCTCATGCTTAAATACATCTCAAACCTCCTTTCTTTAATTAATTGGAGTAATTTAAGACTATATCAAATATGAATATCAGGTAGCATAAAGGCAAAGCACTGTAGATAAGAATCTTGCTGGCCGTTAGTAACATGTAGGAAAGTTCTGGTGTTAAGTCCTGTCAGAGAGAATTCTAAAGAACAGATATTTGAAATGTCTTGCAGAAGACATTTCAGGTACCTATTCCTTAGCATTAACCCTAATGTCTCCAGTTTTGTTTTTTAATAATATAGACTTCAAACTCTTGAGATTAAAACCAAATAAAATGAGATCATACAGATACTAGCTAGAAAAAAATGAGTAGATATTTTCTTGGAGTTGAAAAGAACTTTGTAAGCACAATGCAAAACCCAGAAATCATAAAGTTTTGAGTCTCAAATTTGAATGAGTTTGGGAATCTCCTGAGATTTGCTTTAAAATAATCTAGGGAATGGGAAAAGTAGGAGGAATGGGAAGTACAGATGAAACGAGATTGACTGTAGGTAATTGTTGAAGCTTGATAATGGGTACATGGGAATTTATTATTTTCTCTACTTTTGTATATGCTTGAGATTTTCCATAATAAATTTTTTTAGGTGTTAGGAAAAATCGTTATGATTTTTTCTTCTCCCTGAAGTCAACTCATAAAGAATAAGTCATTTGATCTTATTTAATTAGCACACTGTCTCAGAAGATGACAATGGCTTCCGGTTGCATGGTTAGCATGTTTATTCTATATTTTATTCTAGCAAATTCTTCAATACTGATTTGTTTTGTTTTGTTTTGTTTTTTTGAGACAGAGTCTTGCTTTGTTGCCCAGGCTAGAGTGAGTACCATGGCGTCAGCCTAGCTCACAGCAACCTCAAACTCCTGGGCTCAAGCAATCCTACTGCCTCAGCCTCCCGAGTAGCTGGGACTACAGGCATGCGCCACCATGCCCGGCTAATTTTTTCTATATATATATTAGTTGGCCAATTAATTTCTTTCTAATTTTATAGTAGAGATGGGGTCTCGCTCTTGCTCAGGCTGGTTTCGAACTCCTGACCTCAAGCAATCCGCCCACCTCGGCCTCCCAGAGTGCTAGGATTACAGGTGTGAGCCACCGCGCCCGGCCAATACTGATTATTGAATATAAGAAAAGTTTGGAAGGATGGATGAGAAGGAGGGAAAAGAAAGGGGGGAGATAGGAAAGGAGAAAGAAAATCTCCTATGGAGCTTTTTAAAAGTACAGAGTCCTAAAGTTCACCCCCAGAAGTTTAGGTCTGGAATGGGGCCCAGGAATTTGCATTTGTACAAGGAAGGCATCCAGGTAATTTGAGAAACTGTCATAGTGGCACAACTTGGTCAGTGGACTACATAAAAATGCAACATTTCTAGATGGGGGGGAAAACAATAAAAATAGTCTAAAGGAAAACTAGGACATATATAATCGTATCTAATTCCTTACGGTAAAGAAATTATAAATCATTAAGGAAAATGAGTGAACCACTGGCAAAAGGAGCAAAGATTTAAACAGGTAGTTCACCACAGAGGACATAAAATGGCCAGTTAATATGCTTGACCTCACTAAATCTTATTTGCAAATTTAAATTGCAAATATTTCTCATCCATGTAGGATGAGATAAACAGTACAGATGAATATTGATAACAGAAGACACCACTGATGATACCAAAGAAGAGACCAGAAATATAGGCCATCTGGCAGATGAAAATGGATGGTCTTTATTTTTTATCTAAAATTCAAATTTAACTAGACATCTTGTATTTTTATTTGCTAACTCTATATTTGAAAGTTTAGATTTGAAAGAACAAAGCAAAACAAAACCAAGACTGA